CCAAGAACTGCGCTAGGGGCTCGGAACGTGGCTGCCCTTGGGCTTCTGGTTCCATATTCTGGGTCTGGTTTGTGCAGCGAGTTCGGGGAAAGCCGTCTGAACCTGAGTGTGCACTTGGATTAGGAGCAGGCTCCTGTATGTAGGACACGCTGAGCCTCCTGCATGGAGACAGTGCCACAACAGAAATACAAAAGCAGACATAATACAAAGCTCACAGCTCAAAGAACCTTTGTAGTTCTCTGTGCCTTGTAGTTAGCAGACACTTGAGCATTTGCTAATTGACTTATTAGTAGAGTACTGCCTACTGGATGGAGTGTAAATCAGAGAGTGCCTTTCAAGGATTCCTCCATTAATTAGCTGTGTAACCTTGAATGACTAATTTTTGATTGAGAAAATACATAATAGCAAAAGGGCTACTTTGAAATTAGGAATGGCTCTTGAAGACTGTATCTTATTAATCATAATGTCATCTCTCCATTTTATAATTAGTGGCAAACACAGTACAGGGCCTGCGTCCTCTCTGAAATTCAGTGCAAACCCTGGCCACTAGGCTGTGCAGAGCGGGGCAGGTCCACCTCAGGGACTGGCTAGTGGTAGGACCTCTCAGCCCAGAGTGGATAGGATCCTAGGGCAGAAACTATCACCCACAGCTGGCCATGTCCTCCCTAAAAGCCTCACAACCTGTGTGCCTACAGAACAAATCACATCCTGTTATGATCAACACCAGATGAAATACTTTACAGCCTACTTGGGGGCTTGGCTGAGATCCATGGCTTAAAATACAGCCTCCAGGTGTGTGTCCACTGAAAAGGGGGGGGGGGGACTACAAGTGGCTCTGCTCCTCTCTCAAAGGGGAGCAGGGACACTACCTCAAACACCAGCACAACAAGACAAAGAACACAGTGTTCTAAACTATCAGTCTCCAAAAGCAGAGGCTCCAGCTGCCTCTTGAGCTATGCCACAGCCCAAAGAGCCACTGGTCACAGCTAACCCCGACTGCCAGCCTCACCTGGAGCTCCAAACTCGGCCTTCCCAAAGTAGGTCACGGTCCTGCAGTGAACAATGCCCACCTGACCTTCACCATACTCACAGCGATGGGCTGTGACCTGGGGTTCCAGTTTGGTCTGCCCAGTTGGTAGCAGGCTCCGTGCATGTGCTCTGCAATCCACAAAGCCCGGCCAACAACAGACAGATGCATTGTCTCAGTTGATCTGCAGCCTCTGGGCAATGGGGGCAAAGTGCTCCCAAATAATTCTTTGGGGTCAACAGAAGCACCATGACTCTGACAAACCTCTGCTAGCACCCAGCTACTCCCACTTGCAGGCACACACCCCAGTTCCAGCATACTGGCTTCCGTTCAGCAGTCAGCTTTGCATCCTGCTGTCAGACAAGCACAGGGTGCACAGCATTTAGTGGACTGTTTTCAGTATTACTGCTATAGCATTTAATGTCGGCCGTAAAACCAAACGGCCTCTCCCTGCTTTTCTGAAAAGAGACAGGAGTCGTTTCCAGAAGGCAAACAGCATTTTTAAAGCAGAGGAACGGGGACAAGGGCGGGAAGAACAAGAGCCCCAAGAGCTTTTAATTCCTGGGGACCGGCCAGCGAAGCCTTTACTCTTTGGCATTTGCAGCTCATGCCCTACCATCTGCAGAGGACAGGTGACAGAAAGGCCTCTGTCTTTTACTTTCTCCTCAGAGACTGGATTGACTCCGTCATGTGCTCAGGTGGTACAAACAAACCAAAACGAAAAACAAGCAAACAAACAAAAACAACGACAAGCACAGGTCTAGTATTCAGGCTCCATCCAGAGCTCTCCTCTCTGAGGCCCAGCTCAGGCAGCTCAGCCCCCCTTCCTACAAGGCCACAGCCACACTCCCAGCTTCCAGCAGAGCTCTGGGCTATGCCTCAACAACTACCCGACAAACTGAAGGTCTAATTTGTTAGCAGAATGAGAACATCGTGCATTCTGCTACCTGACGCCTGCCAGACATCAGCCCTGAGTGCACAGCAATCCCAGAGGCCAGCAGGCTCAAAACAGCTAATGGGGTACACTTGCTATGCCCCTCCTTCAGCCACACAGGTGGGCACAAAAGGCACTTGGTACCTTGTTGTGCTAAAAAGTCAGGGGGTACTGCACAGGAAGAGGCCCACTTGATACTATAATGTACAAATTCCTCTGTTGGAACATAGACCCAAGCTTGACAGTGTCAAGAGGTAGAGCATGCAGGAAGGGATTAAATCACAAGGGCAGAAATGGAGACCTTGTAAAAAAAAAAAAAAAAAAAGGAGGGGGGGGCTGCAAACAGGGAGCTAGACCTTTTTGCCCTGTCCCACCAAGTGAGGACAGTAACCAAGACATCATCTCAGAGACAGAAACCAGACACCAGGCATACCACCTGTCACCACCTGGATCTGAGTTTTAATTCTACAGAATTGTGAGCCATAATCCTCCATGTTTACTAATTGCCTCCTCTCCTGTATTTTGTTATGGAAGTACAAACACAGTAAAACAGCATGTGGATGCTGGGGTTGGAGTTGAGGCATGTCAAGTAAGCTCCCACCAAGGGCCACCAGTCTCTGCCTGGAGCTGAGCCCAGGGTCCCGGTAAATCCATCCGAGCTGTGAGAGAGATGGTACCATTGGCTCCTCTCAACAAGAGACAAGGCTCAAAGCAGCTCAGCAGGCAGAGTAAAGCTGGGATGAATGGAGCTGGGGTCTTGATGAGTACACAATCTGTTGGTTTCTAGCAACAGCACAAAATGCTGAGACCAAACACAAAAGCCAAGTTTGTAGCCTTCCACAAGGCCACATATTTGAAAGTCACTGGATGGCAACTCGCCCCGCGCCATTAAGTGACACTTCCCCACAGTCCTACGGGTGACCTGCTTGGATGGTATAAGTCAAGTCTGGTACTGTGACTAGCACCTCCACCACCTCTCATCACCTCACTGGCCAAGCTGCCCTACAACCTCTATAACCTCTTGACAGACCCGTGTTCTTCCAGCTACTGTAACCAACCTGACGATCAGGACCCTTCCCTGTTCTGACACCCACCTTCCTCTCCACACCCCCAGGGTTCTAATTCTGTTCCCTCCCTCCAGTCGTGTGCACATGGCCTCTCAAATCCTAAGTCTAGACAGGCCTTCCCAGCTTTCTGGTGGAGGTCAGTCCTACCCTGAAGACTTCAGAAGCACCTCCCTATGCAAACTAACCATCCTCTCCCCAGCTGCCTGCCTGGCCATGCCTGAAACCTAAAGCACTGGCTGGCCACACTGGCAGGACGGTTTCCCAAGCACCTTTTCTGGGGAACAGAGCACACAAAGGATGGCCAGGGATAACTGAAGCCCACGCAGCACACCTAGCATGGCCTACAGAGCACTGCAGTCGGAGTATAGCGGCTGCATTCTGCAATCCTCCGGCAAGACCTCAGAGTCAAAACAGAGCCGCGGCCGCTAAGGGAGACCCAGTCAGGGCTGTGCTAGCTAGCCAGAGGACGGGCCTCACCTGACTGCAGTCCCCAAGCTACTACTCCCCGCTGTGAGTAAGCTGTGAGCTCAGGAGAGACTCCTTGCGGTGGACCTAACCCTGAAGAGTTCCCAAGCAACTCACTGAGCCAGGGAAGTGTTCACTGCTGTGCTTGCAACTTGAGATTCCCCCCACCCAGGGCATCAATGGAATAATGGATTCCGAGCATCAACTGAAGCAGGTCATTAACATTCTTTGTTCTTATCCCATGTAGTCAAGTCATAACAGCCCAGACCAGCTCCATCTCTCAGTCAAAGCCAAATACGAAGCTCTCAGTTTAGAAAAAGCATATGGCCTTCTGAACAGATTAGCCCAGCTGTGATGCAGCACTCAGAGGCAGAGGATCTTGAGGTTGAGGCCAGCCTGGACTACATAACAACACCTGTCCCAGAAATGAAAACCCTGAATGGGGCTGACAGAGGCTGGGAGGGAACACCTGCAGCTGTGGTGTGAAAAGCTCCTGGAGAGAGTGGTGGTGGCTGCTGCTCAGCCCTAGAACTTAACTACAGACCAGGATGGATCCAGCTGCCTCCGCCCTGTGCTAGGATTAAATGTGTGTCAGCACCACCCAGTTTTACAAAAATGAACAGTCATACTCCACCATGTACTCACAGGACAACCCAGGGCAAACTCTTCTTTTGTATCATTTTCCTCAGCTTCAAATACCAGCATTGTGAGATATATTTCAGACTAATATTTCAGATATATTAATGTTGCCCTATTTTTACGACATGGTACTGTGAAATATCTTTTACAAGATGTCTTTTGAAAGCACCGTTGTAGTTATATGAAGACAATGTACAAATGTTGAAGGCTGTCTATAATTTATTTTCATTAGTAGTTGTTTTGAAAAATTAAACATTTGCATTTTGTTACAAAACAAACTAACAAACAAAAGCAGATAGGGGCTAGTGAGATGGCTCCACAGGGAGACAAAGGCACTTGCCACCAAGCCTGACAGCCTGGTTCCACTTCCAGAACCCACATGGTGAGAGGAGAGAACTGACTCCCACATCTTACTTTGACCTCCACATCTACACTGTTGCATGCATATACACATGTGCACACATGTAAATGCAATAAAATGTTTTAGCGTGGGATTCAGATGGAGATTAAATGAGCTAATTAACTGGGAACTGCTGTAAACCATCCTTAGCACACTGGAAGCATGAATATGGCTACTATCATCTATCATACATGGCATAAGGCTTTGCTTAAAAAAGATCAATTTACCTTTTCTATAAATATATTTGCATACAAATATGAGCTGTTCAATATTTCAAAAGTGTGTATACCTACCATTCTATACCATGTATAGGCACAGCCATACACCAACAAATTTTAAAGAGAAAAATATAGAAGCCTAATATTTTATTAGGTTTTCTTGACATTTTTCTCTACTATAAAATAAAGGTCAGTGCATCTAAATCAACAGTTTGCATGGTAGGTGCCCATGGGAGGGGCTGACACTTACCAATCCAGCATTCAAGCCGTGCACAAGGCGTGGTCTTCACCACGTCTGGAGGATCCACGCCCACGTTCAGGCACAGGACCAAGGCCACACTGACCGTCTTCATCTGGAAGCACAACAGAAACACTGTTTCAATGCAAACTCCAGAGACGCCCAAAGAGCACTGCCTCCTGCTGGCACCGGCCCCCTCTGCCACCCTTGGACTGCTTCCATGCCCCAGGTTAGCCCACCTCTGAGGCCTGGGCAACGGGCTGAAAACAGTGCCTGTAGGAGCTTCCTTATAATGACTCTCCAGAGACAGAATCAACTGATCAGACGATAACACATCTTGAAGAGCTCCGCACACTATTCTTACCTGTGCTCCTGCTGTGCAGAGGGCAGAACGACTTAGCTCTCATTAGTACAGCTGAACACTGTACAGGATACGCGTACTATCACGTTCATTCAGATTCCGGTGATTTTCTTAGCTAGCTTCACATTATCCACATTACATTCCTTTACTATGTTTTTCTCTACTGTAATTGATGTCTGAGTGCTTTATTTGTCTGTTTTTGAGACAAGCTCTCTCTACATAGTCCTGGCTGTCCTGGAACTCACTATGTAGACCATGCTGGCCTCCAAATTCACAGAGATCCGCCTGATTCTGACTCTGAGTGCTGGAATACAAGCATCATCTGATATGCTTCCTCCCACCCCTGTTTCTTTCCCTCTGCTCCAACTTTAAGAAGCAACCCCACCCAGCCAGCAAATCTTAGCCCATGTCCTTCACCAGAGCACACAGTGTGCCAATCACTGTTCACAGGTGCTAGAAACACCTCAGGAGCCTAAGATAAAGATCCTGCAGCAAGCACAGTGTGGCACACACCTCCAATCCCAGTGTGGAAGAGTAAGAATTTGAGCCTGGACTGCACAGTGAGACCCCATCTTGGAAAAATAAAGCTGGGGTAGGCAGGGAGAGGAGGAAGTGCATTCAGAGCACCGGCCCTTCTCGTCCTCACCATCCTTAGAAGCACCAGCACGCTGCATCCGAGTTGAAATGTCTGCAAGTGTGTTCACTCCAAATCATCATCAATGCTCCCTGAGCTCCAGTCATGCCCTGCACGTATGTGTAAGTACACATGGACAACCTGCCTAGACGGCTGCACATCAAAGCTGTGCTTCCCAGGTGGCATGGGAGAGAGCCACGCCCTCTGTTACCTGACATCCTCTACCTCCGGGTATTCAAAGCCTTGGTCCTCTCTGCCTCGGGCACGCCATCTCCAGCCTCGCCTACTCTCTAACTTTGTCCTTGGGTCGCAGGGACTCCCTGAGCACTCCTCGCTGCACTGCATCTAAAGGAAGCAGACAGCCCAGACCCAGCGCTGAGTGAGTAAGCACGTGCTTTAGTCTAGCCTTTGATTCTGTCCCACATCCTACTTGTAGTTCATCTGGATAGTATTCCGACAAATGAGACAAGGTGAGGATTCTCCCCCTCAAAACAACCAGTCACTTGTCCCAGTCCCGCCCAGTCCTCTCCCTGACCTCACACGTCAGGACTGCCAGCAGGTAAGTGATCCACTGGCCGGCATTCCACTACACAGGGACCATGCTGGCGCACCTAACCTTCACCTTGTAGTTAGGCATTTTCTTATTGCTATGACAAACGCCTGACAAAGTTAAAGAAGGGAAGGTTTATTCTTGCTCACAGTTTGAGGGTACAGTCCATCCTGGCAGCAGAAGCAGGAAGCAGCTGGTCACGTGGCATCCAGAGTCAGAAAGCAGAGAGTAATGAACTCTGATGCCTCGCTTCCTTTCTCTCTCTCTATTCAGTCTGGGGAACCAGCCCAGGGAATTGTGCCACCCACACTCAGGGAGCGTTTTCACTCCTCAGTTAAACATTTTGGGAAACATCTTCATAGACACACCCCAGAGCGCCTTTCCATGGCAATTCTAAATCCACTTAAGTTGACATAAAGATGAACCAACACACCTTACATAATACCTGAAGGCCAGGTTTTCTTCAAAAATGTTATTTAGGCTATTTAAACCTGCTTTCCAAACTAATCACTTAGTCACTTGAATTTTTTATTTTTATATGTATAGGTGTTCATGAGCCCCTAGAATTGGAGTTGCAGGTGGTTATTAGCCGCTATGTAGGTTAACCTGAGTTAACCGAGTCCTCTGAAAGAGCAGCAGGTGCTTTTCATTCACTAACCTATCTCTCCAGCCCCTTGGTCACTGTTTAAATCACGCTGGGATTTCAATTAAAACTGCACTAGTATTTCAACCAAATGCGATAAGAAGCAACCTTTTCACATACTCCCCTCTCAGACAGGCACAGCATCTCCCCACTGGCCAAATATCCTGTCGACTCTGTCAGCAACACAGAAAGTGAAGGAGACTTTGGGGTCTCCTACCCAGGAAGCCCTGTATCCCATCCAGATCATCTTGTCCTTCTCAGATCCACTGCCCACCACAGCTGCTTCTGGCCATTTTCTCGTGTTTGCTAAACATGGAACTACACATGCTCCTTACTGGTTCTCCTGTGAGTGTGCAAACACCCTAGTACACTGCCTGAACCTCAACCTCTCTCACAGACTAAACATGTAACTACACATGCTCCTTACTGGTTCTCCTGTGAGAGTGCAAACACCCTAGTACATGACCTGGACCTCATCCTCTCTCACGGACTGTGCCTCCTGTCTCTCTCTGTATTAAGTCTTGCTGGGTTGTGCAAGACTTGTGAAATAACACTCCTAAAGCAGCACAAAGGACAGCAGTCACCCTCTTCTAGAGGCTGCCGTGTGTTTCAAGAGAACAGTCCTTTGTTCAGCACAGATGCTAAAGGTCTGTGGGAACAGAATGTTCCAGCCTTCCTCTCTCCCGGCACGCCCACCTCCAGGAGCATCTTCCATAGAGCAGTACAGAATCATCTTGCTGTAACCTGCAAACAGGCTCTCTACCCACTGTCAGGAGGAAAGGTGAAATCAATCAAAGGGTAAAAATACCTGCATTTTCTAGTTAGCTTCCAATATGTAAGTGACCACCATCAATAACCCCACAGAGCTGATCAATTGCTTTACTGCAGACTCAGCCTGAAGACAGGCTGTCTAAAAGGAGAAGCTCCCTGAAAACATCTCTGCCATCGTAGGGGACAGCTCTAAGCCTCCTCCGCTGCTGTAACAATGGAAGCTACAAGGTTCCCGTAAAGCATGGAATCAGACCTTGGACCAGGCTCCCAAGTCATGGCTTTGCTCAGTCATCACAGCCCTCCTTCTCCACAGACGCAGCAATCCCTACAGTTTAGGTTCTCTAATATTACAAGACTGATTCCCTGCTCCAGGCGTCCCTTACTCAAAACCATCTACAGTCAGACAGCAGTATATGGGAAATAAGAGAAATAAACAGCCCATAAGCTCTGACTGCACTCCACCAGGAACTCTCCATCCTCTACCAGAGGTGCAGATCCTCCATTAAGTCAGCTGACGATGCCTGTGTTATCAGACAGTTCCCAAGCACAGAAGAGCAAACTGCCAATCAGACAAGACAAAGGAAGCCACAGCGTGTCCCTCCTTCCAGAGGAGGCTGAGGCTGGTGGGGTAACTCAGTTGGTGAAAGTGCTTGCTGTCAAGTCCAAGACCTATGTTTGATCCCCAGGGCCCACATGGAGAAGGAAGAGAATCACTTCTGTCAAGTGCTAACCTCTAGACTTGTGGCATGGCCCACTCACACATTCACAAGGAGGGAGAGAACTGTGAAGGAGAGGCCCACATTCACAGAGCCCTCATGAGGGACAGGACTGCTTCGCTGTTCTGCTGCGCTGTTGTCGGTACACTTTCTGTACCTCCTCTCCTTTACTAACAACCTCTAACAGGCACAGTCTAGATAAGGGCTCTGTGTTGTCCTGAGCTTCTGGCAGGCACTGAGAACACATTACTAGAGGACTAAGGGAACTGCCACAGGCCGATTCCCATGGCTGAACTCTACCCACCGGTTTCTTGTTATGCCCTTAACTAACCTTCTGCTGCCCAGTGAAGTCCACAGGAAAGCCCCTATCTATGGCTCCTGTGGGGACGAGCTCAGCTGCAACTGCCCTCGCAGTTTGCTCTCCCAACACCTCACCCTGCAGCCCCGTGCATCCAAAGAGGAAGTGACGAGATTACCTGGCTGGTGCCGGCTCAGTGACTTACAGCCAGCGTCTGGAATTGCTCTGCACGTGCCATCAGCAGTGGCACCTGCTCATTACACGATGCTAACAGGCATCTCAACTGTAACTTACGCTCACCTGAAAGGGCACAGGGAAGGGAGGAGTAAAAGGGTGGACCCTCGCAACTCCCATGGCAGCAAGTCCCATGTTAGATACACCTGGTTCTTTCCCACACCAAGAACAGAGAAGGGAACCAAAGCATTGATGTAGCACCCAATCTGACTATTTATCATAGTTCTCAGTAAATAATTACAAAAAGAGAAATGTTCCTCCAGAGCTGAGCTATGGCTCAGTTCACTGTGCACGCACGGAGGCCAAAGTTCAGCAGGTTTGAAGCTTGTGCCTGTAACTCCAGCCTGGGGAAGGCAGACAGGAGGATCTCTACGCACTGGTCATCTAGTACAGCCATACTGGGGAAGTCCCTATCTCAAAGAAAAAAGATGGAGGGCAATAGAGAAGACACTCAGCGCGCGCGCACACACACAGTCTTATGATTTGGGTCCCTCAGACAAAAACACTCATGAAAACACAGTGTTCCTTTAGTCCTGGGTCACAGCCCAGCACGACTGTTAACAGTGCACCCTATACTCACTCTAGAGGCAGCTCCCCTCTCCTGCCCAAGAACTAAGCAGCGGCAGGACTTGGCCTGGGCACTAGGATCAGTGTACTTGCTCACGTGATGTATGCTTTCTATAAAAATAACACAGAATCTCAAATACGCTAACACATAAGTTAGAAAAATGGAGTTTAGTCTAATGCCTAGCTACTGATTCCAAATCTGAACAGATTACCACTAAATGTTATTAATCCAATCAAGTGTATCTCATTCTGCAAATTTTAAACATGTTGGCATAGACTGTATAGACTCTTAAGTTCAACTATACCTAAAATATCTTTTCAGTATTTTATTTGATGTATAT